GCCCTGGCACTCTTCTCTGCGTGATCTCCAGAGGAGAAAGTGTAACTCCCTTTGTGCTGCAGGAGTGAACTCCTCTTGGTGCAAATAATCTTGCTTATTAAATGAGATTGCACAGCTTCCAACACCAACTGGCTTAGTTGCCTTCATGTGCTTTGTTTTATTGGCCCGATGTCAGATGCACTCAGTAAATCCTCCCAAGGCTCCAGTGGGCAGATAAGATAACAGCTGCTGCTTCAGGGGTTCCCAACCTGCTCCATAGCATCCCAGTATCTGCTTGGCCAGGCAGGGGCTGGAGGCTGGTCCTCTTGGAGGAGCTGAGGGGGCTGGGTGGGAACCTCGGGAAAGGCAGTGGTGAAAATAATTGGAAAGCCTTGTTTAAAAAAAAATGAATTTGTTTGTCATTGTGCAGATGACCTGGGAAAAGCAGGCACTGCTGCAGCCTCTGGCTGCCTTTCCCAGCAGGATCCTCAGTGCTGGGATGGTGCTGGTGGGGCTGGGAGGAGGCAGAGAGCAGAGAGAGCAGGGTGGTTACTGGTGCCTTGCTCTTTAAAATTCACCTTTTCCTGCTGGAATAATATAAAAGGAGTGAGACAGGCACTGGTGTTGGACTTCTAAGTATTTTTTGAAGCCCAGTGCTATGTGGAGGATGTACAAAGGCATCACAAGCAAGGCTTGTCCTGAGGGGACTGGGGACAGTAATATGCTTTTTAGAAATGGGAAAAAAACAAACCCATTCTGGCTCCCTGCCAGAGTGAATCCCTGCAGGAGGCATCGGGCAGGGGGAGGCCGTTCTTGGGGCTTTTGAGACCCTGCATCTCCTTCCCAGGGGCACACGTTCTGCCCCCCTGCTGACACAGTGTTGGCAGCCGCGCAGGCTTTTCGTTTCTTTCCCTGTTTTCTGTTTTCAAGTGTTCTTGTGCATCTGCAGTTTTTTTGAGAAACAGAGAAGCAGCTGCTTATTTTTATGGAGGGGTTAAATGCAGAACATTGTTCTCTCCTGGCTTTATTTAGTTTTGGTTGAGCAGTAAGAAGGCCGTGTGTTTACCCCGCCTTCCCGGAGCAGCCGCCGTGCCGTGCGTGCAGAGCACACGCACAGATGCTCCTCTGGGCACAAAAGGAGCTGTGGAAACACGAGTGCCAGTGAGCTCCCAGCACCCTGACAGCTCCTGCACGTATTGTCATCCTCCTACAGCTCCTTCCTGCTG